ATTGGAAATTTATTCTTGATAGCGGCGATAGCTGTGAGTTTGTTACTTTCAAAACTTATCTATTAAATTCATTTTATCTAATTTGTTGTAAAACTCTAGAAGCCGGGCAGCATTATTTTTTCTGTTGTAAATAAAATGGTATTGAAAATGCAATATAATTATTATGACCGAGTTGTAAAACATTTATTTTGAATACCTTTGTTTATTAAGTTACTTAAACGTTGATATCATTGTCGCTAAAATAGTAGAGATGCTTAAAAATTATGAAAGCTTTGCATAATTTGACTATTTGGAATATATTTTCAAATTTATTTTACTATAAATTTCGATATGTGGATACCTTCTAGGTCCATTTCAATACTTTAAGAGGATGCTTCTTGGATCATTTTATCAACAAGAGGTGTAGAAATTTTTGTAAAATGCGTCACATTTCTCGTTCCAATACTTCTTAGGGTGTGTGACGTATATTGATGAAATTTGGGTCAAGATAAAAATTTATGAATGGGTGTCCCACCAGGAATCACCACTTTCGATATTTTGGAAAATACTTATCCGATAAATATGAAAATTTGTCAACCTAGAAAAAGCAGTAGGGACAACACAGCTAAAATATTTAGAACTTTATGCCACTTCCGGTTATACCGAAAGTCGACATAATTTTCTTATTTTAAATGGGATATCCTATATATTATTGCATTTTCGGATTCTACGTGAAATTTGAAGGTCACTTTATTAAATATTCCCTACACCTAGGAGTTATAGATTTTGAGATATTAATTTATAAAGAAAAACTTTGCCGGTGCAAGAGTCCGCGGAGATGCTAGTAACTCTTTTCAGAAGCGTTATATTAAGTGGATTTTTGGTACCTGTAAAAAGCATAGGTAACACTTAATTATGGTATACCAACAAATTAAAACATTTAATACTAGGTGTTTCATTTTTGCTGTTAAATGATTTTTTGGGTATGTCGTCACTATTTATACAAATGTTTCACTATAACTTAAATGCGGATAATATACTGAGCCAAATTATATGACAAGGAAAAATACTAATTTAAAAAAATGTTCTCGCCTGAACAATGTACATATTAAAGTTATAATTAACCTTTGGAAGAATCAATCCTTTTTCATTATCCAAGGTGTGATATGACGTCTCTTTTTTATTTAGCTTTGATTTAAATTTACTTTTGTCTGCAACTAGAGATATCATATGATGTATGTGAGACCCAGCCATGTGGGCTAGCAGCTAACGAGTGGTACGTCATAACACGGCTTCTCTGCGTTTTCGCGCGTTCCGTTCCCATTAATTCTTTTGAATATGAATTTAAAAATATGTGCTAAATGAACCCATTGGTGTACAAATATGCCATCCAGTCACAGAGATATTGGAAAGCACGGTTACTAACTCTAGAATTTTAACGCCACGAGTACTTTAGATATTGAATAAGTGCATGTGTTATTTTTTAAGAAATATACGACTTTCATTTTATCTTCAAACTGAAATATCTTCGAGTACAATTTTAAATATAATATCGTCATTAAGAGCCGAAAAAATCATTGAGGTACAAATTTTTTTAAGGGACATCAGGAGACATACTTAGTTCCAATAACTTTTTAGACTTTTGATTATCACACATCACAAAAAACACGAAGTGTATAAAAGCATTTAGTGCATTCATTAAAACATCTTTGTCTTACACTTGCAGTTTTTTTAGTGCTCACATGTTGGTTTTTAGTGATCATTAGTGACATTTTTTTAATCGTTAGTAAAATAAAATAATTATAATTTAAATAAGAAAAACAGCATTAAAGAATTAACTATTTGATATATTGCAATAAAATAAAATAAAATTAGATTTCAACACCAAATCCAGCAAAAGGAACTTATTTTCTTTGTGAAACATAGTTTTATTAACATTTGCTACTGGTAATTGTAGAGATAGCGTCAGCAAGAAGTGTACAACAAAGAGCAGTTGAGACAACGTCAGCATTGTTGTTCAAAATTTTTTTCCTAATTTTGATATTCTGTTGAAAAAATCTTCGACATATTATTCAGCTGTTTTGTTGCTTTTTCAAACTCCAAAACGCTTCCAGTAGTGATATCTGCGCCACAATCTGCTAAGAAGGTACGTAGCTGTTGACCTGTGGAATGAATGGACGGTATACGTTTCTGAATTGTCTAGTGTCAGAAATCTGGCAATATTTGTAGGTATTTTTCCGAAACTGCAGGTTCATGGTACGTTTGTTATCGATAGTTAAGAAACAGTCAACTAGTTGTTGTTCTCTGCGTACGGAAAATTGGGTATTTTCGATAGGTACAACTCTATTGAGCTAACGTTAATGCCATCACTCAAAATCGTGGAAGATCGTTCTTTATTAATTTTTGTGAATAGGAGATGAACCAGTAGAATATGACTTTTTTCTTCTATAATGTTCTATGCACAACAAAAACAGCAACCACCTAAACAGAATACAATAATTTAATAAAACAACTTAGATTAAGTAAAAAACTTACCTTCATCAATAAAAAGCTATGATTTGCTGAATTTGTTGTAGACTTGTATTTTCGTAAGTAAGTAATAATTTATGACGCCAATAAAGCTTCTTCCGACTATATTTGTAGGTACTGCATTTTCTGTCGTCCAAAATTTAATTAACGCATATTCCTCGTATTAAATTTCTTTAGATTTTGGACGAAGTAATCCCAAATATGCAATTCCATCACGTTCTATAGGCACATCAAAAGGAAAATCAGAAAATTTGTTATTTATCAACAACTATCCATGACGACCAACGTTGACAACCAAGAGTTGACTTCTTGACATTTAAAAATATCTCTTCAAATTTATTTTTGTCAACTTGTAACTATTGGACAACACGTCGTAATAAATGAGAGTGAAATATCATTAGAAGCACGTGAGAATTTGCCACTCGTTCAAAACTCGTACGTCAATCATCTCACTTGCTTATAATGGCTTATTTCACTCACTTGTAATATGACATACAGAGCCTTCATAAATGTTTACAAGCCACGTGTGACCGTCGAGCGTAGGCAACCAACAATTTACGGTTGGTTAGATCAAATGAAAATCCCCAAACCTCATTGAAGTGGTTGAAGGGGTTACATGTAATTAAATAAAATTGTTTTTAAAATTGATTGTTATGAACTATGGATATTAATAATACACATAATTTAGTATTACATACCTACTTCCGAAACATACTTTTGTTTTTCCGTTGAAATACTTTTAACTTTATTAAAAAGATAAAACTGTCAAACTTCACTTGTTAATGAACAAATTGCAAATCTTTACTATGAAACCAAAATGAATATGATGTGAACCTATAACAGTTTATTATTATTTTTATTTAAATACATAGACAGACAGACAAAACATAGACAGTTTACTTTTTATTATAAATAAAATAATATTATGAAAAAGTTGCATTCATTTACAAACCATTGATCTTCGCTCCAAATTCAAATTCATAAATTAGTAACCTAAATAGGCATATTTGCTATAAACCATTACATATTATGTTCAAAATGATGTCCTTCACTACCTATCCACAAAACTCTCTTGTGCATATTTTCATAAACATTTTGCAGTTGTTGTTCTGTTATATTGACATCGCTACACGAACGCCTAGTTTTAAGGGATGTAAACCGGTTTCTACAAATCTGTGCGGATTCTCTGCAGCCTAGGTTTATAATTTTGGCTATATACATAACGCGATACGTGAATCTTTGTCAATAAAAAACGGCAAGTTCAACAAATTATTATTAATGTTTGCTATATATCGCTCACAGTACTGTAATTCCATAGTCTATGGGAAATATTCATGCACAACAGTTGCCTTGTAAGGGTGTAAATGCAGTTGTTTTTTTAAACCTTTATGACATATTCCAACTGAAAGCCCTAAAATAAAAATCGTAGGTTATTAAATATACTTCAATCTAATCTCAAATTCAAATAAAAATTTCAAAGTTAAAATGTTTTGGAGATAAACTAAATTTGAGAATATTTGCACGAACTTATCAAAAAAAAAATACCTGTTTGAGCAGATAACTTTGATACGGACATGTAGGACTTTGATTTATCCGTTGCTGTATATTATCGATGACATTTTCTGTAAGTACAGTTTCAAATTTCTTGATAATAGCACATTTCGGTTTAAGAAAGTGTCAGTCAATGTTTGCGCCTGGAAATTCCCGTCATAAATTGTCCGATGCGTGATTGTAAAGAGTATGACCCGTCTTCATTTCGAGATCCCCTTCGAAAATGAGCCAATACAATAAAATACAAAAATTCGACGAAATGCCAAATGTTTATCCGTGAAACTAACTGATAGACTAGAAATATGTACGATTTAATATTGAAGCAAACGAAACAATAAAACGATGACAGCACAAAAATAAACACGGATGACGGACGCTACTGAAAGATGTATAAATTTCAATTTAGTGTCATCAGTTGTAATTATTCGTTTACAATAAACAGTAAGAAACCATTGCGTCTACACGCGAGATAATCCGATTGCTGATTAGTTGAATGAAATGTCGTGAATAATTACACCACTCATGAGCTGGTAAAACGAAATGTTGCGTTTTTACGTATCTTATTGTTTTAGTAATTGTTTTTGCCAGAATGTAATTACCAACGCGAAGGAAATAAAATTAAGAATTGCGATAATGCTTATAATACAGTAGGCGATGCTGATATTAGAAGAAAATAATAGATACCAAATTTTGTTATACCTATATTTTCATCTTTATTATATACTATTTATACAAATTTATAATACATGACAATGTGATAAAAACGATATAGACGTTTGATGTAGAAATTCAAGAAACTCCTTCAAAGGAAACTTCCAAAAGTAACCTATGAATGTTGGACATAAAGTTTACTCGTACCTTCTAGTGATGTACTTATTTACTTATTATTTCTCTGAACGATCTATTTTGCTGATAGTCACACAAATTTGTCTCCCTTTCAGACGCATGGGTATGATAGTGGACGATATGATGCAGAATGACCAAGGCCCACCGCCCTGCAAGGCTCTACCAGGCTTGAGCCCAGGACAGGGGAGGCTGTGCCAGCTGTACAAGGACCACATGAATGCAGTAGCGTTGGGAGCCAAGCAAGCGCTTACCGAATGTAAATACCAGTTCCACAACCGGAGGTGGAACTGCTCCATTCTAGACGATGTAAATGTTTTTGGGCCTGTGATCATGATAGGTGAGCATCTACAATGAAAATAAAATTTAATAATGCAACTTAATTATTATTAAGAGAGAGAACGTACTCGTAGTAGTTGTATTTTCGAAAACAATAACTTGTATTTTAAAAAATAATTCTGTTATATTATTATTACAATCCATAAAAATAAGGTAAGGTCGAGATAAACTCCGTTAGGAAAACACACACAACTGCAGCACGACCTCAAGATTCAAATCTAAATAAAACAAATCAACAGTCTTTCAATTTACTCGAAGCCCAAGGCCACCTCAATCATTTTAGTCGAGGTAGGGAGTTCGTTGTATCTATTTTTTAAACCGGAAATACTACAACAAATTGTAGGGCTTCGTCTGAGTCGTGAGGATGGTATTGCCTGAACGTGGCTTGATGGATTCTGTTAACGTGTCTCATAGAATTCGTTTTAATAGGTTTATAGAAAATTTAGTTGTATAAATTTTCAATGCGGAATGTCAGAAATAAATATTATTAACTTTTTTTACAGTTGATCAGTTCTACATTTACCAATTTTCGGAGCAATAGAACTGGTTCAACAACTGGTAGCTAACTTTTGGAATTTTAAACGACATTTAATATTTATTCAACAGTTCCAATTTTAATTATATTAAAGGATTTTAATATATATTGATAAAATTTGAATATTTGCTTTTATTTCAAATAGGTATTAAAAAAATTAATGTCATCGCTCATAAGGGGATTCCTTATCTAGAAATAATCCGAATGAACATGGAATTCAGAGATAAACTTTTCTGATTTGGGTTGTGGAAAGTGTCTAAAATAGTTTTGTTTGAGCATTATAGCTAGGAAGATATTTTGAACATTTATTAAAATAAATTTGACAATTAAAAACCTGTGACAGTTGTCATGTTGATTGTTACTTACCTGTCACGGCCAACCTAAAATGTGCGCAACAGACGGAAACATCATTTTAAGAAAATGGAAATGTTTATTCGTAAATAAAATGAAAACCACTGGGTTTAGGTATAGGGAAACTTTGACAAAGTTACACTTAATTTTAGTGCAGAATGCGAATACGTTAAAAATATTAGAGGTTTCCATTTAAAAATTTCTAGTTTTCCACATTTTCGGAACCTCATATTCGATAAAAAAATTTCACCACCCTGTATAACAACTGCAAAATTTTTCATGTTAAATCCGATGAATTATGTCTTCTTCTACAAAATATCCAAATTTACACAAAAAAATAAACCTGTTTCTGGTAAAACTAAATTTTGCTGACAGTCTGCATCTGTCAATTTTTGCTTAAAAATCAAAATACCTCGGAAACGGTCAATCCTAAGTATGGAGTGTGCTATATATTTTCAACTTAAAAATGGATGGTCTTTCCAATAATATACAGGGGGTGGTTCCATTTAAAATAAGAAAGTTAGTATCGACTTCCGGTATAACCGGAAGTATGATGACCTTCAAAATATTTTAGCTTGGTAGGCCTCACGGTCCGTATCACACCATCACAATTTCAAAAAATCCTTCGAGCGGTTTCCCTGTTATCCATCGATGGAGTTCGTGGTGGGACACCCTGTATAAGTTTGCCTTAAATCTCGAAAACGCAACATTCAATTGTTTTTCTGAGAGCAGTTTTTTTTTGGAATCACAAGAAAATTGCCTACAATTGCCATACCATTTTTTTATACGAAAGTAAAAATGATTACCTAGCATGTGAATGACCCTGTAAACACAGGATATTATTTCTCAGATACATATCATCGTTGGTACTACAAGTACCATTACCAAGGAAAAATATGTGCATATTGAATTCCGTGACTTTTCACATGAGAATTGCTCATATATAAAACTGAGGAAGATGCCTTTTTGAAGTCTGCTATAACTGTTGACCAAAATACTTGATTCTATTCTTTGGAGATATAGAGACGACATTTTATATATTGATTTTCTAACCGAATAACATATTATAAATGCCTAATATTGCAATCCACCTTGTGATCCATTATGATACACACCTGAAATTATAATCCAATCAATAGCTTCTTGATACTTCTAATGGTGGGGTTCTGTTCTGATCCCTGTGCAACATCTGTATTTTGACAAATATAAATAACTTGGTCAGTTTCCTTCTGTAGGTCTGAATGCCCAAGTATCCAAATCAGGGTCAATATGTTATTATTTCCTAATCGTGTCAGAACTTTCTGTCAGTTCCATACCATTCTTGAGAATTTCGTGGATCCAGCCACATATGGTAGACTCGATTTTTTTAGTAACAGCTGCCTTTAGAGGAATTCAAAATCAAAAGTAAATTTTACAGTCGTAATCGTCGTTCACAAGAAAATATTGCAGTTGGCAATGCAATTGAGCATTAAACAAATCACTTTATTGTATTTTGCATAAGGATCTTCAAACAAAGTACAGTTAAAAGAATTATTGTCAACTGATCATGGATTACATCGTATATTAGTTAATAGGGTCTTGCAGTTGAAGAAGAAAATGATATTTTTTTTTAACAAAATCGTCTTTAGTGATGAAGGTCCTTATGAAATTGATGGGTGTGTAAACAAACAAAATTGTCGTATTTGGGGTGAAGAACACCCACGAGTAATATTGGAACATCCAATGCATCCACAAAAAGTAACAGGTTGGTGTGGTATTTGGTCCATACTTCTTCGAAAATGAAGCTGCAAACGTTGCCACTGTAAATGGTGCTCGATATCTATCGATGATTTTTCTTTCGATGACTTGATGATCGATGACTTTTTATGGGATGAATTGGAGCGTATTAATGTGCAGAATATGTGGTTTCAACAGGACGGTGCAACATGTCATACAGCAACGGAAGCAACAGATCTTTTGAAACAGATATTTGGTAATCGAATAATTTTTGGAAGAGGACCGTTAGATTTCTTTTTATGAAATTTTTTGCAAAGCATAGTTTATGCTGACAATCCTCAAACCATTCAACATCTGAAAGAAAACATAATTGAGCAAATCACTCAAATGAAATATTGAAGGCTTGTAGAGCTGCAAGAGGTAGTCACTTACCTGATATTACTTTCCATTATTAACCGCAACATGTCTACTTTAATATTCAATAAAGATATTTATTAAAAAATAAAAGTTAACTCAAAATGAATACCCCTTAGAAGTTACTGGTATCAGTACATTCAAAAGCATGGATATTGGGAAGATAATATTGTATAATTTACTATTTTTCTGTTTGAACACTTAGCGTAACATTTGTTTTATTACATTGCTCGCATAGCACTATGCTTTGACAGTTTCTTTTTATAGTAGGTTTTACTAAACTGCATTAAAGAGTTGCTAAATAGTATTCTTGTGACAGAATAATTATGTATTCCGTACTATGCACAAAGAAATACAAGAGAATGCAATATCCAAACCCCCAAAGTAACAAATCATGTTTTATTTATTGATGTAAGTAAACTATTTGTGCTATCCTTATCGATAAGAAAATTTAATTTTGTAATGTTCAAACTGCTTTTAAATATATGTGAACCTTTGTTCCACGGAATGTATCTCTATCAGAATCGAAAGCTTTTACTCTTATTTTGTTCCCATAGGTATCTCCAAAGAGAAACCGTTATTCCAGTTTAATGAAATAAACGTGCACCTCTAATAGAGAAAACGATCTGCTTGGCAGCGAAAAATCCGGAAAGTGCTGAAAGCGGACGCAATGGATTCACTATGCATGCATAAGCTGTGCTATTGTCGACGTTTTAAACCTCCGCCAGTGGCGTTACATGGCAAATTCACATTAGGGGAAAAGTAATATCAATTTATTGAATTATACACAACGTGCGAGTATTTTCTAGCTAGATACATATATCGTAGTTCCATTGCGAGGGGAGTAAATTATAGTGTAAGGGTGCAAGAATGTTTGATTGCATACTGTTAAAATTATAATTAACAAATTAACTGTTTTAGATCATCATCCCGTATAATTCAGTTTCTACTGAAATATAGCTACACATTTATTTATGTAACTTTAAAACGATCTGACACCTAAACAGGTTTAGATGTGAAAAATTTTGAGGACACATTATCTTATTAAATACTAAGTGACATTCAAAGAAAAACTAGGATGAATTTTATGATAACAGTGTTGAAAAATATCAATTATTCCTCATTGTTAATGAGAAATATTTATTAGCTTTTCTTGAAGTCACACGTTTATGTCTACAAAGTCCATTTAAATTATTACAAACAGACAAATAAACAAAAAAACACAATTTCTCTAAAAAAAGATAGTAATATAAAAGTCATGTACAGACTGTTGCAATACTTAGAATAAATTTCATTCGTCAAAATAAATATAAAAAAACAGGAGTAATAAATATTTTAATTAATTCCAAACGACCCTACAACACTTTCAAATTGGACGATTGATGATTTACTTAAGAATCATTGAAGATATAGTGTTCAAAATTGGTATAGTGACCTCGATAATTTAGGAATTTTAGGGGTTTATTAAAATAAAAAATCTGCATATATTTAGGCGAACATCTTGTACATAATTGTTCTTAATCCCAGTTAAGACACTATTCAATGAACTTGGCTAATCAAAGTGTTATGTGAGGTTATTGTTGATCAAAACTATTCGATATATTCTAAAGATGTAATATTTCAGGCTAGAAAACGATACAGAGCATGCCTTAATTTAATTGCCAACATCAACAGAGTATTCCTTGGTTAAAATGTAGCACAAAAAGTTGATCCAGCCGCGAATTCTGACTCCTTATGAAGATATAGCATGAAGATAATCTATTAATAACACTGGTGTAAAAATACTAGTCACCTTGATTAAATACGATTTTTCTCATTCTTGTAAAATGTAGCTTGAAATGAGTGGTATAATCCAATAAAATATAGCTCTTGAAAAACTATGGTTTTTAAATATCTTTATATAACATTTATAATCAAGAATTCAAAAAGATGGTTGCAATTTTTGCTTTCAATATAAATTGACATTTTTTAATTTTAAAGAGATA